AGAATCTCTGCCCTGAAGAACGAGCTGCGCAGGGAGCGGGAGCAGATCCTGCAGCAGGCCAACAAACAGAGGCTGGAGCTGGAGCAGGAGATTGAGAAGCTGAAAACGGAGGAGAATTACACCCGGGACCGCCTGGGCCTGGCCCTGAAGGTAACAGGGCTGACACAGCCAGGATTTCCCCCAAATCAGGAATTCCCTGGCTGGGGGAGTCACTCCTGAAAGGATGAGTTCTGGGCTATGTTTAGCTGGCCAAAAGTCATTTAAGCAGCAAGGTTGAGGCATGTCTGTGAGAATTGGTGTTTGGGGCACCTCAGTGGGTTGTTCCATGGATTCCCAACCTGCAGAGATCTCAAATCTCTGCTGCCCTCACGTGCAGAGTGTGTGTGTGTGCACAGCTCTCAGATGAGCTGACAAGCCAGGAGGTAAAACATCCTGATCAAGTTTAAAGTCCTTTTAAAAACAACCAAACCATCCAAAGCAAACTTGCTGTTCAGCCTTTTGGTAATTTATTAAAAGTCCACTGTTCACACTTGCTGTGGCAGGAGTGGGGTTGTGTGTGGATAATAATAATAATAATTAATAATTCCTGTCATCACCTGAAGCTTGGAATAGTGTCATGCTGGGTTGGGAGTGACCTTCATTGTGCTGATTTTTTCCTCTTTTAAGTGCTGATCTGTTATGGGTTTTTTTTTGTTTGCTGCAGGAAAACAGCCGCCTGGAAAACGAGCTCTTGGAAACAGGAGAAAAACTGGCTGAGTGTGAAAGTCTGGCAAGCAAGCTGCAGAGGAACTTGGAAAATGTCCTGGCTGAGAAGGTAAATCCCCCTTTTTCCCGGTGGGGTTTCAGAATTAAATAATTTGTAAGTTGCTACATTCCAGCTGCCAGTTTAGTGATGGCCAGAGGCTTTGGGGGTCTCTATAGCCTGCCTTGGTGACATGGGCTGCCTTCCAGCTAAGGAAAATACAGATATTCCACCTTAGCAGTAATTTTATTCTAATTAAAACAGGGAGCCTTAAAATGAAGCAATCATCTTGCAGATCTGCAGGGGTTTTTATTTTTTTTCCCCAGCACAGAGTTTTGGATGGGCCCAACTTGCAGCTCTTTTCCAGGAGTGAGGTTTTCCATGGCATCACTGCTGGAATTAGGTGAAAATCGAGGTGATCAGCTGTTCATGGCTGTATTACATTAAACTTTCAGAATATCAGCTTCTCCAAAGATGTTTGAATTTGTTCAGCCATAGCCTAAGGTTCATGCATTGGGATTTCCAGCCTTCTTTAAAGCTTGGGATTATTTACCACGCTGAGATGTGCATATGCTAAGGTAGAAAGCTGTGATCTGGAATCAGAATGAGCATGAGAGCTGTGCTAGGAGGCAGACAGTTTTTTTGGGGAAGTTACTCATTCCCTGCTAGGAAGAAAGCAGAGTTTCTTAATTTAAAATAAAAACCCAGAGCGGAGAGAGGGAGTGCAGGCTGCAGGAGTGTTTGGGATGGCTCCACGCTGTCTGAGCAGGGCTGCAGGCTGGGTGGGTGGTGGGTGGGTGGATAACTGGCTGTTCCACTCCTGTGTTGCAGTTTGGTGACCTGGATCCCACCAGTGCCGAGTTTTTCCTGCAGGAGGAGAGGCTGGCCCAGATGAGGAGCGAGTACGAGCAGCAGTGCAGGGTGAGTGCAGCTGACACCCGGCTCCTGTGTCCACCAGAACCATTTAGGTTGGAAAATCCCCCTCAGATGGAATCCAAGCATTCCCCCAGCACTGCCAAGCCCTGCCCTAAGCATGTCCCCCAGTGCCACATCCTCTCTGTGAGCAGCAGCACGAGGCAGGCTGGAAATCTCCTCACCCTGGCTGAGCTAAGGGGGTGAGGTGCCCCCAGGGTCCATGGGGCTCTGTGAATTCAGAGTTGCTGGAACTTAAAGAAGAAATAAACATCCACATTTTGCTGGTTTTCAGACCAGAAATATTAATTTAAAATAAACCTGAGAACAGAAAGTTTGCTTTCTCTTCCATCTTGTGTACTTGAAAGAGTTTAAGGTGAGCCTGCAGGTTTTCTATTTACAAATCTGCTTGCTGATATCTGCAGAGGAACCAGCTCATCTGTTGCCCAGAGGAGCTCTGGCTGGTCCTGGATCCCTGGGAATGTCTAAGGCTGGGTTTGATGGAGCTTGGAGCAGCCTGGGACAGTGGAAGGTGTCCCTGCCATGGCAGGCGTGGAATGGGATGAGCTTTGGGATTCTTTCCGGCCCAAACCATTCTGGGGTTCTGTGGTCTGTTCTGTGGGATTATTTCCATTCAATAAGGAATTCCATTCAATATTCCATCCAATATTTCCATTCAAGGGCTGCCTTTGCTGTTGGATTGGAAACAGCACAGCAGCTCTCTCAGGAAGCTGCAGTTTAAAAGCAAAAATTGTCTGGAAATAGGACTTGAATCGATTCTTCTCAATATGCAGCTGATTTTTCTCTTTTTGAGGATGGCAGACATAAATCAGTAGTCAAGGTTCACTCCCTGGGCCTTTCAGAGCTGCAGGGTTGTGTGTTTGCACATTCAGGGAGCTGTTTTCCTCAGTAGCTGCTGTTCCTGGAGTGGAGTGCACCGCCCTTGGCACAAACCCTGGGGGTGTTCCTCTGGCAGGCAGGAGCAAGGAGCAGATGGTAAATGCAGTAATGAGGGGATCTCCTTCCTAATTTGATCTTCTGCTTCTGATTTGATTTTTTTTCAAGTAGATGGTGTTTGAGGAGGCATTTCCCAGCTGTTTGGAAATGTTGCTCAAGCTGCTTTTCAATAAAAGGTCACAGGAAGAAGGAATAAAGGGAAAGCTCCTGCAGCTCCTGTTACACCTTCACCTTTTAGAGTTTGGGATTGTAGAGTCATCAGAGAATCCCAGAATGGTTTGGACTGGAAAGGACCTTAAAAACCATCTTGTTCAATGGGCAGGGACGCTTTCCACTGTCCCAGGTTGCTCCAAGCCCTGTCCAGCCTGGCCGTGGACATTCCAGGGATCCAGGGGCAGCCACAGCTGCTCTGGGAATTCTATTCCAGGGCCTCCCCGGAGTCAGAGTCAGGAATTCCCAATTCCCAATCTCCCACCCATTCCTGCCCTCTGGCACGGGGAAGCCTTTCCCCCTGTTTTGGCTGTGGCTCTGTGTTTATTGACAACTCTTTCTCTGCTGTAATTCCCACCTGTGACCGTGTTCACAGGGGTCCCAGGCTGAGGGAAGAGATGAGGATCTGACTCCATGTTTCAGAAGGCTGATTTATTATTTTATGATATATATTACATTAAAACTATACTAAAAGAATAGAAGAAAGGATTTCATCAGAAGGCTGGCTAGAAATAGAATAGGAAAGAATGATAACAAAGGTTTGTGGCTCGGGCTCTGTGTCTAAGCTGGCTGGGCTGTGATTGGCCATTAATCAGAAACAACCACATGAGACCAATCCCAGATGCACCTGTTGCATCCCACAGCAGCAGATAATCAATGTTTACATTTTGTTCCTGAGGCCTCTCAGCTTCTCAGGAGGAAAAATCCTAAGGAAAGGATTTTTCATAGAAGATGTCTGCGACACCCACCCCAATGTGCTGTGGTGGGCTGGGTGGATGCTCAGCAGCCTTGGCTCCTTTTTCCTCAGCTGTTTTTGTTTTCCTCCCCATCAGGAGCTGCAGGACCAGATTGATGAGCTGCACTCAGAGCTGCAGGAGTTCCGTGCCCAGGGCAGAGTGCTCAGGCCTGCCCTGAGGAATTCCCTGTCCGAGGAGTTTGACATTGACATGAAGAGCCATGGCACCAGTGGGATTGAGCCTGACCAAGGTAAAATATCCCTCCTGTAGGACTGAGATCTGGGATGCAGGTGTTTATAACATCCTAGAGGTTGTTCCCTGAAAACCTTCCCAGAGAGAATTGGTCACCACCTCTGATTTGGTGTTTAATGTTAATCTGGACTGTGACTGCTGAACCAAATTTAAAGCTGAAATTGAAGTTTGCAGTTCCTTGGATGTGTTTGTGATGGGAGTTTGAGAGCTGCCAAACAAATTTGAATTGAGGAAGTAATTCTGTTGAGAATTATATCTATTTATGTATTGTATAATTCATGTTTTTATAGTTATATAAATTATTACTTGATTACTTTTTCCAAAGGACTCGGTTCAGAAGACTGCAACCCATTAAACATGAGCATAGAGGCAGAAATGGCCATTGAGCAGATGAAGGAGCAGCACCACAGGGACCTGCATCACCTCAAACAGGAGCTTGAAGACACAGTAAGTGCTGGAATGAGGTGGTCTTGAAGGTCCCTTCCCACCCAAACCAATTTGGGGTTCTATGATGCCAGGAAGAAATAAAACTGAGCACTTATTTATTCTTTCCAGGGAAATTAATATGAGATGCTGAAGTGTAAATCAAAATATTCAGTAGAGTGAATACACAAAACTAGATGGAAATATTGATGAAGACATCCCTGTAGAATATCCTGTGAAAAATGAACAAACCCATCCCATTTTTCCCTCCTGCAGGTGAGCCATTATGAAAAGCAGCTGGATGAGACAAAAGCCCACTGGGAAAAGGAGCAAGAGGATCTGAGGCAGAAGTGTGCTGAGGAGATGAGCGCCATGGAACAGCAGATCGCTGGCCTCAAAACTCAAATAGCAGAGCTGCAGGGAGAGGCAGCGGCGCTCAGAGAGCAGCAGGAGGAGCTCAGCCGCAAGCACAGCGAGGAGAAAAACAAATTACAGCTGCGTTTCGACGAGGAGAAAGCCAACCTGCAGGAGCTGCTGAGGCAGGAGCACGAAGCTGAGGTCAGGGCCAGAGTGGAGCAGCTGAGCGAGGGCTTCAGGCGGGAGCGGGAGGAGCTGAGCCAGAAGAGCGCCTGGGTGCAGGAGGAGATGGGAGCGGCGGTGCAGAGCCTGCAGCAGGAGAAGGGGCAGCTGGAGCAGCGCTTCCAGGAGCAGCTGAGGAGGCTGGCAGAGCTGCACGCCCTGCAGAAGGAGGAGCTCCAGCAGGAGCTGCTGAGGAAGCACCAGCAGGAGCTGGAGGAGGAAAGGTGAGTGTCGCCCCTGGTGGGTGAGCGCAGGGCAGAAACAGCTCCCCGATGGGCAATCCCAGGTGTCCTGCTCTGTTCCACACCTCTGGGCTGCTCTCCAGGGGTTTTTCCCTCTTCTGACCTTTCCAAGCAGATCTTTAGGTTCATTTTGAGCTCGCCCAGAGGCAGCAGCGGTGTTAAAGCATAACCAGGAGTGATTAACTCGAGCTCTGCTCAGGATCCCTGTGCTCCACAAATCCCTTTGAAAACCCAGAGCTGATTGAGTTTTAGAGTTCTTTGCTGAAGAAGGAAAGGGGTGGCAGGGATGTGCTTTTAGCCAACGTGGAGTGTCAAAAGAAATTGAAGCCGCCCTGGGGTGAGGGGTTGTGAGAGCATTTTCCTCCCCAAAATCTGAGCACAGGAACTGAAGGGCACATGAAACTTTTTCTGAGCACATTTCATGAATTATTGCATTTTTCCAAGTCAGTTTCTTTTTGAAGTTTCACCAAATTGCCTTGTTGCACTTTCCCAGGGCAGTTTTTCTTTTTGAAGTTTCACCAAATTGCCTCGAATTTAACTTGCAGCTCCCAGAAACACCCATCCAATAGTCAGTGGATTAAAAAAAAAAAAAAAAAAAAAAAAAAAGTAAATTTCCAACTTGTTTTATTCAGCCTAAAAAGCCAGTTTAATCTCTGAGGTAGCTTAGTAATATCTTATGTTAACCATGTCTAGGAAAAAAATGGCAAGTGACTATAACAGAAGAGCATCTCATGCACAAACTCAGTTTTCTGTGGACACACAAACCCTTGTGAATAAATATGAAGAGACCCTGCAGAGCCTGGAGGGACGTTACCAGAGAGAGCTGCAGGAGCTGGCTGAGCAGCAGAGAGAGGAGAAATCCCAGTGGGAGTTTGAGAGGGATGAGATTGCTCAGGAGGCTGCTGAGGCCCACGAGCAGCTGAAGGAGAGCTTGGCAGGTGAGAAGGCCGCTCGTTGTGCCCTGAGCCAGGAGAAGGATCTCCTGGAGAAACATTTCAAGGAGGAAGTGAACAAGCTGGTGTGTGAGAGGGAGCAGCTGGAGAAGGAGCTGAGAGAGCTGAGGAATGCTGCCCAGGAGCAGGAGGAAAAGATGATGGAGAAAATAAACCAACTCCAAAATGACCACGAAAAGGAGCTAAAGGAGAAAGAGGAACAAATATCCGCAGTGGAGCAAAATGGGAACCTGGTTAGGGAGAAGCTAGAGAGACTGGACAGTGAGTACAAGCGAGAGAAAGAAGAGCTCAATTCCAAACTTCTTGCTCTGGAGAGTTTGAACAGAGACATTTGTGAGAGAGCAGAGACGGAAAAGGCTGAGATGGGCTTGGAAGTCTCAGACCTCCGAGGGAAGATCCAGAAACTGCAGTGGGAGACGCGGAGTTTCTCTGCCCTGCAGAGCCATTACAGGGCCCTGGAGAGTGAGTATGCAAAAGCCAGGAGCCAGCTCGCTGCTTTTCCTGCTGCAGCTGCCCTGGGAGACGATGGGGATGTTCTGCAGAGCCTGCAGAAGGTGCACGAGCAGGCAGTGAAGGAGAATGTCAGGATGGCTGCCCAGATCCTGCGGCTGCAGCACCGGCTGCGAGCGGCCGAGCAGGAGCTGCATCCTCCCAGCCCCGGCTGCTCCCAGCCTGCCTCAGAGCCTGAGGAAATGGAGCCCAGCTTGGAGGGGCTGCCCAGTGACTGCCAGGATGTGGCCGTGGGAGCAGATTTCAGTGTCCTTCCACCTCTGGAGGGTGATGCTACAGACCTGGAGGAAATGTCAGAGATGGATTGGGATTTGGAGGAGGGATGTGTGAAAGCCAGAGCTGGTGGCCACCCTGAGGCACAGGGGTGCTGGATCCAGGGAAGTCAAGCAGCTCTGGATGCTGATGGCAACCAGGATGGTGACAAGAGCCTTTCTTGGGTGCCTCTGCTGCCAAAAAACAGAGACCTGGAGAAAGTTCCCAGGACAAAAACGCTCCGCAACGATATCAAACCGCAGAAGGTTCATCTGCTAAATCACAGAATAGCTCCCAAAAATAAAGGGTTTGTTTCTGATGCTTTGAAGGTGCAGGTGGAGCTGGAGAGGGCTGAAGAACTGAGTGAAGACTCTCTCCAGCTGGATCACACTCCTGGGGCAGCAAACAGTGACCTGAGGAGCGTAATAGCTCAGCTTTGGAAAAAGATGGAAGAGCTGGAAGACAGATCCATGGCACAGGCTGAACTTCTGTCCCTGCAAGAAGAAATTCAGGTAGAAAATGAGGATCTGAAGGCTGAAGTGATGCAGTTAATTGAAAGAAATGGAGTGCTGGAAGAGAACCTGCGCAGGCTGAGGCGGCTTTGTTGTGAGCAAAAAGAGAGTGAGACGGAAAGCGTCCAGTTTGAAGATGAAAATGCCAAATTCGTCGTGCAAGGTAGAGAATTGGAAGGTATTAGAGAATTGGAAGGTATTAGAGAATTGGAGGATAGTAAAGAATTGGAGGATGCCCAAGAACAAGATGCTCAAGGAAACTCAGATGTGCCCAGTGACACAAGTGGGGAGCTGGAAGAGCATCCCACCACATCCACGGGCCAGCAGGACAAGAGCCCCCACGGTGACAGCGCCGTGACAGAAGTGGGAAAAGCAGGAATGGGGGATCCCACCCCCCAGGTGAAGGAGCAAGCTGTGGGTGCCCCAGAGCAGAGGAGGGCAGTGACCCAGGGCCTGCAGAGCACGTGCACTGAGCTGCAGCAGAAGGTTGACCTGCTGAGGTAACGTACCGCGGCGTTCGCCACTAACCCAGCGCTGCCCCGGCTGCTCCTCTAACCACCCTAGATTAACTCTGCCTTAACCGAGTAGCAAACACTGCCATGGACTGCTAACTCCTCTAGCTGTGGATAGCAAAGACCACTGGAACCAGTAACTGTGTGTGCCTTACTCCTCCCTGTGCCCGGAGCGCCTGCCAGCTGTCCTGTGTGTGGATGTCACCGTCACCGCGCGTAGCTCGTCCTGCAGCACAAACCCATTGCATCCCCATGCCCAAAATCCATGGTAACACCTCCAGAGTGCTCTGTAGCTCTTACTAATATTCACTCCACTCAGTTTGTTCCCTTCTAGAGCTGAATGTTGCTCACAAGGCTGAAATTGCTCCTCTTTTGCCTCAGTGTTTCGGTGATTGCTGTAGGATTAGGGTAATTTGAAATCCTAAAAGTGCTTCTATTTTTCTCAGTATTTAAGTTAATATTAGAGAATTATAGGGACTTTTTTTCCCAGTTAGGAACACCTCAGGAGTGGGATATGGTAAACACAGTTATAAAACATATATTCATTATATTATACTCATCATAGGTTTTACCTACTTTTTCTAACTGCTGTATTCCAGCAAGGATTTCCTTTTTTTTAATGGTTAAAGTGGCTACAAGTGGTTTAATTATTGTTCAGCACCAGCTTCCTGCAGGAAATTATTCTTCCAGGTGTCCCACCATGGCTAAGTTATTTCTGTGCAGTCTCCTGAGGACAGAAAACACATTTCCCAACCATGCTGTTCCCAGAATTCTGAATTCCAGCTGGGCAAACAGCTCACTCTCCTGGCAATCTGCATATTGTGGTGTTCAGTTGTTATTTCTAGCTTGAGGACTGAAAGATATGTAGAATATGGTGTGAAACTTTAGATTTTAACTCACTTCAAAAACATGCCCCAAAAGCCCAGGGTTTTTTTAAAGCTTGTTGTAAAATTTTGGAGTTTTTTTGAACAAACTGGGGAGCGCTCCTGCTGAATTCACGTAAAATATAAATACACCATCTGTACATAAAACAAGGCAGTTGTAGCTTTGTTTTTGAAGCATTACAGGTCGCTCTGACCTGGGGGACTCCTTTCCTTTCCAGGGATCCCATGGGAGCTGTTCTCACTCGTGTCCTGTCTGTGCCACAGGTGTGAGGCCGAGAAGCTGCGCGAGGAAAACGCCGTCCTGAAAAACGAGGTGACCCTGCTAAACGAGGAGGGGAGCGCTTCCAGCCTGAAACTGAGGGAGCTGAGTGGATCCAGGGAAGAAATGAGGTGAGAATTCCGTGGGCAATGCACCCCGTGTCTGCTCGGCCACTGAGGTGAGAATTCCATGGGCAATGCACCCCGTGTCTGCTCAG